TTAACGAAAACCGTAAAAATTTCATTATATTCAGTTTAAATGTATAATTTAAATTAAATAAAACATAATATATAATATGTATACATCTATTACACATATTTAAAGATTTCTAGTTTCTACAATACGAAACGACTACTGAACTACCTATATACTCTATTCAGGTCAAGATTGAAGTTATAGGTGAATTAAATATGTACCTACCTACAGATACCGTATATTTGTTGATTAATTAGTTTTTATATTATTTTTTCATTGTAATGTTATACTCATACACCATATATAGAAGTGTTTTGTTGTTACAATTTTATAGATGTAGACAAACATTTTATTAAAACTAAAATGTTTTATTTGTGGATTGATTAGTTTTTAAATTATTCTTTTACTGCAGTACCATACTCATGCACCATTTATGGAAGTGCTTTCTCGTTATAGTTATATTAATTAAAAGAATGGTAAGACAAATTTAAAACTGTCTCGAAGACCGAAGCATAAATCATTTTTTATTATAAAAATGTTATTTGAAGTTTGAGTAATTTTACCATTATTTGTAGTATATTTTATTCAATATTAATTGCATTTTACTATTAAATAAACTAATAATATTATTTATATATATTATTACTAATAATTAACTAAAGTGAAAATTGAAAAATAGCTATTGTACTAACTGTAATATGAAGTCATATAAAGACGGTAAAATAAAACTATCGAATATAATTGAGTAAAAATAATATTCGATTATTATTCGATTATAATATAAAAATCAAATAAATAGTTATTTCAAGTCAAAAAAAATTAAGTTATTATTTGACCTTGATCAATACGAAAAAAATTGTTCAGCCGTGAACAGAGTGTAACCTTGAAATTAAAATGTATGTTTAATTTGATGACAATATGCGAATGAATAAAAATTATCTGAATAAAACTTATCTGAGTAAAACTAACAGTATCGAAATATTCACATCCCTCAAAATAAAAAATATTTATGTAGTATGATAAGTGTAAAATTATAAAAATAATATCCAGACAGAATATTATAGTAAAACATTTTACATTTTAATGCGTTAGTTTAGGTAGGCAACTAACTACTTAACCGTTTTTTTATTCTTAACTGATGACAGGTTGACAGGGTAACTTAAGACCATGCAAACGTTCATAATATCTTCAATAGTAGGTATAATGTGTCAATGTAGACAACAAAATAAATAAAATAGTCTATATAAAATATAATCGTTGTAATTTTGAATACGGAAGGTTAATGAGTAATGACTAATGACAAAATATTGTATTCAATGTATATTAAAAACTTATTTTTTAAAACCACGTCTACCTCAAGATATTCTTCTATCACAATCAAGCGAAGACGAAGACCAAAATTAAATTACCACTAAAAATAATTATTCTAATATTAGCATGTTTAATTCATTTTCACTAAATAACTAACTAATAATATCAAAATTCACAATTTGTAATTGTCATTTGTAAATAGAACGTTAAAAAACTTGTAATAGCATTTATAATATGCTGAAACATTTTAATTTTAATAAATCAAAAAAAAATCTTAATACTGTTAAAAAATGGAAGCATATTGTCCAACACGTATATTGACTGCTTTAAGGCATTTACAATAACCGTTATTTGGAATGCCTACGCTAATGTTCCAATAATTATTATAAAAACCAAAATTATCTTTTTTTAAATATAATATATTAAGATTATTAATTATTATTATTATTTATATTAGTATTATTTTTAGTTCTTATCAGATTATATGTTATTAATTATAATGTCGATAGGAAGGTATTGTTTGATAGTTAAATATACAAAATATTTATGTGATGACCTTATGGCATTATACTTATCATACATATAATTTCATAACTGGATATTGTTACCTATTACATTATGACAGATATATAAATATATGTACTATAATATTTATACATAGGATCTATATATCTAAAATACTTAGTGATCATAATATAGCATATAATAGTATATTAGTATGTATAACCTGGAGGTCGCAAAAATGTAATAAGAGATTAGAATACAACAGTTAATGAAATTATGAAAACATATATAATTATACTGTATATTATGTTGAAACAGAACCATATTTCTAACACTCATGATGTATAAATCCAAATTTAAGTATACAAATGACCGATGAATTAATTTAATTTTTTAAACGATTAAAATCTAAGTAACAAATTCAAAAAATTACATATTAAGTGATGCATTTTAGATTTCCATTAAACCTATAATACCTAGAACTATCAAGATAAGTAATATTGACTCTACTTCTATTTGCCTTAGCTTATTTTAGGGGTCCACGCTTTCTGCTCTAGTCATCATAAAAAAACAAGTATGAACCAAGATTGAGTTTTTAAGAATATTTACTGATTGTTGTTCCAAATTTAAAACCTACCACTTTTAATTGAC